GTGCTCTCCCCCGCAGGGCCATGGGTCAGTGAGGGGCATCATGTCTCATAGTGGGGCTGGCCAAGGACATCACACGTTAAGAATGGCAAGCATGTTACAATATGCTTCGTTCTTGCAGGAAATACTTACTTATACACAAAATGGTCAATCATCAATCTTTCAGCAAAAAGTAAAAATAGATTTATTTTTATTTAAAAAAATAAAACAGACAAATTTATGCTATCACAATTGAGTGGCTAGCAGGTTGAATTCAGGGAGACCTGTCTGTAGGTCTTGTTTCCTTTTAAGGCTCTGGAAGACAGTTCTTCCTGGTCTCTCCAGCCTCCGCCAGTCTCCGGCGTTCATTCCAGTCGCTGCCTCCTCTTCACGTGACCTGCTCCCTGTGTCCCTGTGTCTCTGCTTCTCTTCTTGGGTGGACACCAGCTAGATGGGATTAGGGCGTACTCGATGGCCTTATGCGACTAGTTATCTTTCTAAAACTCTGTCTCCAATTAAATCACATTCACACGCACCAAGGGACAAGATTTGAACATACCTTTTGGATGGACACAGATCAACCTATAAGACTCTTTTTCATGATGAATTCAAGATTCATCTTCTCATAGAAGCCTTCTCTAAATACAAATCTTCTCTAACCCCTTTAAAAATTTACTAAATCATTTTACTGGGAGGCTCTTACAGCTCTTGTAACAATTCATACATCAATGATATCAAACACATTTGTACATATGTTGCCATCATCATTTTCAAGACATTTTCTTTCTGCTTGAGCCCTTGGAATTAGCTCCTCTCTTTATCCCTCCCTCCCCACCCTCATGGATCCCTGATAAATTATTATTTTCACTGTACACTGTCTCCCTTTACCCACGTTTCTGTTGTTTCTTCCCCTGGGCTGGGGCTGGGAGTTATATACTAATCAGTTCCCTGTTTCTTCCCCTTCTTCCTCCACCTTCCCCCTACCCTAATGGTATTGCTATTCCCATTACTGTTTCTGAGGAGTTTATCTGTCATGGATGCCCTGTGTTTCCAGTGTACATGTTCCGGTCTAGGCAGATGTGGAAGGTAGAAATGGGGTCGTGATAGTGGGGCTTGGGTGGGGGTAGGGGAGAGGAAGCGTTAAAGAACTAGAGAGGAATGTTGTGTGTTCCATCGGTGCTATGCTGTTCTCTGGTTGACTCATTCCTTCCTTGTGACCCTTTTGTAAGGGAATGTCCAATTGTCTACAGATGGGCTTTGGGTCTCCTCTCTGACCCCCATCATTTGCATCAATATATTTGTTAGTTTGGGGTCTTCTGATGGCTGATACCTGATCCTGTCAACACCTCATGATCCCACAGGCTGGTGTGCTTCTTCCATGTGGGCTTGTTTCTTCTCAACTAGATGGGTGCTTGTTTAACTTCAAGCCTTTAAGACCCCAGATGTTATATCTTTTAATAGACAGGCACCATCAGATTCCTTCACCACATTTACTTATGCACCCATTTTGACTTCAGCGATTGTGTCAGGAAGGTGAGTATCACAGCATGCCAGGGTATTAGAACAAAGTGTTCTTGCGTTGAGGGAGGACTTATCTTCTCTACCTCATTGATTTTGCCCCCCCTGAATTCCTTCAGTTTGTATGTGCCGAATGATATGCATTGTCTTTGATCTATATAAGGTGGCTTCAAAAAGATTGTGGGACAACAACAACAAAATATAATACGATTTTTCCTATACCAGTCATATCACTTACAATTGTTGTGTATTCCCTTCTGGGCATAGTTTAAGAATCTCAGAATCACTGAGAGTTACATGGATGGGATTCCA